AAAGCTTGTAATTGCAACGGTGAGGAAAAATCATAAGGGAAGGAGGAAGGAACAGGCCGATATTTGGGCAATTTCATATATTATGTATTTAGCGTCAGACTTGGTTCGAGTGAGGAGCGCTGGTAGCTGCTCTGGCCATCGACTTTAATGGAAGCTGATTCTTTTGCGAAGAAGTCCTGTTGTGGCAACGTCGGTAGCATGCCTGGTGAGAAACAGGTCTTCCGGAGAGCTGTAGGCTGTAAATAGTTGTACGCCTCCGATGCAAGAACTGGTTAGAGGCGAAAATCAGCAGAATGAAGCCAGCATAAGCCGGCTTTAACCCTATTAAAACATCGCAATGAGTTGTTCCTGAGGGTGAAGAAACAATTCTTAGATTCAGCTGTCCGATCAGTGACGAACTACGACGTTCAATTCTGGTCGGCATCTAACGACCAGCAGAACAAACCGATGGTACGTAGAATGCGATGGAGCGAAGAATATGCAAGGTCTCCCTCCGGGGTCACATTCCCAGCGCACAGATCTGACGAAAGTCCGAATTAGCACACGCGATTTGTGCCGTCCACCATGCCAAAGTAGGATGGCCGACTTGAGAGACGACTAGGTAGGTGGACCACAAACCTTCACTGGTCGTCCATGACGCATCTTTTCGGAGCTATATGGATAAGAATCACGGAAGGCAAAATATCGAAGTGGCAGTGGAGGTTGAAAACGGTTGCTTATGACGATGATGATGCCTGTGTTTGATGAATGCCGTGTAAAGTTCACCTCCAACAAGTGGACTCCCTGAACCACTGGTGATGTGTTGCTGTGCATGGTTTGGTCAGACCATGAGGTTGACATACCCGCAGCGCGGAAAGCGAGTCTAACGATTTCGCCACATGTTGCTCCATTATGCTAGAATGGTGCGCAGGCAGTTTTGTCCATAAATCGAATTTTTGCCACTACCAATTTCCTCTCGCCATCAATGGGCTGTTTTACCAGGACCGGTCGAAGTGCCGTTTAACGGCCGTCGTCGACAGAGGGTGAGGCAAGAATCGCCGTCGTTTGCGATTCTGATTAAGTGGAGATGCGGATTAAGGAAAGTGCGAGGCAAAAAGCGCCCAGAGTTTACCATTTGCGACCGTGGAAGCTTAATTATGGCATTCCGCTCGTAAATAAGGCTGCACGCCTCGATTCGGTTTACCTATCGACGACCACTGAAATCGATAACAGCTGCGGAAATTAGCCGCGCGGCGGCAAAACCCATCAATCATCCCGTCTCGATCATAGGAAGACCGTGAGATCGATGGACCGAAGGGGCTGACTTTGGTTTTGAACCTTCTCTGTACGACAGGAAGGGAACCCTCGAAAATGAGATCCCGGAAAGCCCCCGTGCTCCCATAGCATATTCGGTATCAATTGCTTAATTACGCGGCGCATAACAAACGATCTCAACATTTAATTGCGTTGTCATACCTGGAAATCAGGGAAACAAAAACCGTCGTTGTTCTGAATGTAGACGGACAAAGCGACAGTTACAGGCATGGATGCCATGGAAAGCGATCTGTAGTGACCGGCAGCGCTACCTGTCAGTCATTTACCATCGCAGTAGTTGCTACAGGAAGGACAGGGGTTTTGAAACAGTGGCACGACGACGCGGAACACTACTTCGCGCAGGGCAACTTTGCAGTGGGGTTCTTTCTGCTTTTCTGATCATATGAGATGCATAGAAAGTTCAGCAAATTTACAACATGATTAGCCAAGAAGTTGAACGTTGCGAAATCTTCTTCCAGTCGAACCACTGGGCAATCCTTGAGGATGTGAGATATGCACAGAATATTTGCTATCCTCAAATTCTGGAGCAGAATACTACGGATTAACTGGAACTC